CCGTTATATATCTCCATATATCTTCTCAGCCTGTCTCCTTACAGATCAGTGGTCCAAAACAAAAAAAGGGCAGAAGCAGTAGGTAAACATAGCAGGTGGTTTTTTTACAGTTGTACCTTTTCATCCCCGCTGCTACTAAAATATTGCTGTGCATCAAAACAGAGAGAACTGGTTGGTAGGGCTGGGGGAAACAGAAGGCTGCATAAATTGCCTTTTAAAACCAATATGACTTTTTATGTTTGGGTTTTTCTTTTTATCTGAATAGTATAATTGTTCTTCAATAAACACTGGCATTTAACAATACTCATTAACATGCTTATGATTGCTGATATTCCTGAATAGCTGTAATCTGATTAAAAACTAATAAATTCTGATATTGTAGGTTATCTGTAGATTAACTTTATATTAGTGCATTCATTTTTTCTATATGGGGGCAGTCTAATTTATTATCTAATTAAAAATGGAGTTTCTGTTACATTTTTAGGTTTTAGAACACTAGATCACAGTTGTTAACCTCACTTTTTTGTCCACAACAAGAAGCAAAGTGAAATTGTATCTCTATTTTTTTTTTACACAGATTGAAGGGTTACATGTTATTTGCTAAGAAATAACACTGTTGTCATGTTTCTGCAGCAAAAAATGGCTGACAAGACTTGTTTCACATCTGTCTGCATAATGTAACGAACCCATGAAGAACTAGTGATGAAAAAGCTGTTTTGTTGACAATATATTATTGTTAAATGCACCCAAACACCAAGATTTAGGCAATGCTCATTAGTGCTGTATTGTAGCTCAGGATTTTGTCCCTATAAATACTTTGTGTCAAAATATTTTTGTAATATATTCTAGGCTGCAAGCCTTGCCTTTACAACCCCGAAGAGCTACAGCCATTGAAGCCTTTTATTATCTGAATCACACTCAAACACCCACACGATAACACTGCCAGCCCCATACAGTACCCATGTGTAGCCCAACTGCCCCTTCCCACAAATGCCACCTGACCTGTTTGCTTTGTGCTCTGCTCACCTACTAATACCACTCAGGTCCCTCAGTCTTTCCCCCTGTAGCCAGACATCACATTGGTGGCTCTCAGTTTCCATCTACGACTTCAGAGATTTTTTTTTCTTACAAATCTCACAGTTGCTCATACTATGACTTAGTCACAGGAGAAGAAAGGGAGTAGAACTTCCCTCCTACCTCTGACTGGCCCACTGAAATCTTTGCTTGGGTCTGCAAAAGCAAGAAGGCAAGACAGGACCCGAGGAAAGCAGTGCCTGAGGACAAGCACACATCACCCTTGGATCTCCCTGCCACAGCCACAGCCAGTCAGGCAATTGCACTGACACTTTGGCACAGAAAATTAAGGCAGCAGCTTCTAACAGCTCTAATGACATCACTGGAAGTTTGATGGATAACTAATAAGAGCAGGGTTGTGACCCTAATGAAAAGTCTCTACTTGAAATAAATCCTTAAGCAACACTAAGGATGAATCCCAAACAGACAGCCATGTTTCACTCAGCCCACCACTGCTCTCTTGTCTGCTGTTAACTTTGATCAGGCTGCCTTGTGGGATCAGATCTTCAATAGAGCTACTGCATTAGTCTTGGATATCATTAACTCTTACAATTACCTTAACCAACTGCAGGTTAAAATGGTGCTTCTGTCTCCTGCACCTTCAGATTTTCCTAAAACTTTCTATCATTCCAACTTCTGTTATGTCAGCACTGCATTTATTCTGATTTCAAGTTTCACTCTTTAGATGCCCATACTGTATTTACCTAAAAATATCAGTTATTTCATCCTGTACTTACATAACTAACAAAATCTCCCAGAAGGGCTAAAGACTTCACGCACCAGATTCAATGCGATTTTAAGAAAGGGAAGATCCTTGTCTCACAATCAAGAGATAAATAACTTAATCCACTTAACTGGCATTTCAAATATGGTGTACTTTAGCATGTGCCTGAAAGACTACAGGGAATCTAAGCCAGCTTCCTCTCTCTCCATGGCACTGCAGCTCTCCTTGCTAGAGGGAGATGTGGAGTTGCCCATTTCACTTTCAGAATAGCCCTTTAAAAGCAATTTCAGGTTACCATGGCTGCTAGCAGTGGCCAACAGTGTTTTTCTGTTTAAAGTCTGTATGTTAGAGGAACTCAGTTACGTGACAATAAATGCCAATTCATGCATGTCAATAAGTAACAGCAATAGAAACAGCATTACAAAGCTCCTGAAGAAGAAAGCAGCAGGCAAGATCCTTTTCTCCACATCTTTTTTGCAGGGTAGCAGAGGCAATTCTACCCCAGCTTTACTGGTAAGCCTTCAGCAGTATTTGCTAACAGCGATTTTAAAGACCAGCAGATTCAGCAGTCTGAGCTCTGGTCTCACTCTAGCTTCTCCTGGTACAATATATTGATGAGAACTCGTTGTCAGACAGGTGAACAATGTGGCCCAGAGCAACACCAATCCCACTACAAGAAAGACATGGGCTTATTGAGATGAGTCTGTGAAGGGCCTCAAAGACGCTTAAGGGATTGGATTATCTATCACACAAGGAGAGGCTGAGAGACCTGGGAGGGTTTAGTCTGAAGGCTCATAACAGCCTTATCTGTTTGTACAAACACCTGGTGGGAAGGTATAAAGAAAATGGATTCAGACAGTCCTTAGCGGTGCCCAGTGAAAGAATAAGAGGCAATGGACACACTAACTGTAATAACATAAATTCTGTTTAAATATAAGTAAAATCTTTTTTACTGAAAGGGTTGTGGAACACTGGGACAGCCTTGCCCAGAGATGTTGTGAAGTCTGTATTCTCAGAGATAACCAAAACTTGACTGGGCACAGTCGTGGGCAAGCTGTGGGAGCTGGGGCTGCCTGAGCTGGGGCTTGGATGGGATGATTGCCAGAGGTGCCTCCAACCTAGACCTGCACCAGCCCAGGGAGAGCAAACTCTCAGGATGTGTGCCAACAACTACACCGGTATGTAGTGCACTTTCTGCCTCCCATGGGACTTACTATTCAATGAAGTCCCTGAGCACGTCATGTACCTGCTCCCAGCCCGAGATCTGACCCATCTCACGACCCTCCACCTGGCTTGGCCAGCCACACAACACAAGCAATCCTTTGCTGTTTGTTGTACAAGTTTTCATTGACCTCTCCCCACCAAAGATCTAAACCCACATGCACACAAAATTCACAAACTGAAACAAGACAGAAACAGGAGAAAGAAATTTCCTCAAGCACCAAGCTGTGAGATAATATGTTTACATGGTTCTAGCTATTACATTTGTAGTTCTTTTCCATATTTTCAGGTTGTCATCTGCATAAACTTACTAGCCTATTTCAGCTATCTAGAGAGATTCAACCAGGAAACACATAACACCAGATATGTCTCCCGAACATTTCCATCTGGAAAAGGTGTTTACTAACATATGTGCTTTTATAAACTAAATGAAATTTAATGCAACATGAACTTCACACCAAATTACAAGGGGAAAAACCTGCTTCTCAAGCTTTTTGCAAAACCAAGAACACTTACATATTTCATATTACATTTTAAATAATTCAGGTCATAATTTTCTTAATAAAATAAATAGTTTTAATAAATACTATGGCTAGTTTAGGACGAATTCCTTAAATTCTGATGTATGAATGTACCACAGTGTTTAAATAATACATAGAACACACGACTTCTAGCAAGGTCATGATGAGAGGGAGAGCATAGACTACCCTTCGTGGGGAATTGAATTAAATGCATCTCATTTTCACTTTGTCAAACTTAGTTCACAATCTGGTTGAAGACCAGCATGCTACTTAGGGTAGCAACTATCCACAAGGCAGGTATTATATCTTCATTTGACAGGTCTGGGGTCAGGTAGGTCGAATCAATACTGTAGAGATCTGTCCACGGTCAAAAATGGACAATAAAGAGTCACATGACATATGAATATGGCACACAGGGAAAAGAACTCATTAAAAATGAGGAATAATGATAAGAATAAAAAAAATGGATTCCACCCAAAATAAAGGGAAGAATTTTATTTTGAGGACATATGAGAAACGTCATATGGACCAATTCAGTTTGATATAAGAAACTGGAATTCTGCTTCTCATTGCTTTAAGTAGGGCCCCATTTTAATCAGTATGTTGAAATACAGTTGGGAAAATACCTAACCATTTGTTTATATGGTTTTGTGTGAAAGGCTGAAGAAAACCTCAGCAGTTTTCAGATACTCGCAAAGTTCCACAGACACAGAAGGCAAAAGAATAATTATAGATGTCATATTGTACAGTGGACTGGAAAGGGAACAGGATTATATTGGTAGACAATTCTTTTTTACCCATTCATTTTTGGTAGCTGGCAAAAAGAGACAGAAACCCACTCTTGTCTAGTAGATATTACATGGAGTCAGAACCACACAGTGTATGACTTCCTCATAAGCAGGTTACTTTCCCTTGACAGTCCAATGTTCATAACTTCATTCTTGAAATAAGTTGTGCCATACTCTTCACTAAAGACAAACCACAGACTGAAGCTAGAAGCTGACCACCATGAATTACATCAAAGCTTAAAAATATGGAACAATCACTCATAAAAAAAAAATTAATGGTTGAAGCTGTCTCTTTTGCTTGTGTTTATTCCAGGACAAAAAGCCTCACCAAAAGCCTGTTTTACAGCTTCAGTCAACCTTTCCTCCATTCAGCACTGAAGACCAAAGTGGAGTCTGAGTTAATTCCAGTGTATATGGAGGACTTAGGTCTGCTCTACCTTTTGCTTTATAGCTAGCATTTCCAGGTTCTGTACACAGAAAAAGGTAGGAATACTCTTCTGTGAAATTTTGTAAGATCTTCATATAAATTTCCCCGAGTTTTGGACTGCTCAGCTACTGGGATTTGCTTTGGACTTACTTCTATCAAACAGATCCACTGACATGTGAAACCTACTTTTTCTTATTATTTCAAAGCTTTATTTTTTTCTATTGGCACAGAACAAAGATTCTTACCAGTAACCTTCAATTCAACCGTCCTTCGTATAAGCTTGCCTTCAAACTTTAGTTCACAGGTATAATTTCCTCCATCTTCTTCCTGGACCTCTTGAATTAAGAGAGTATTTCCCTTCTGAATTACAACGCTTCTCCACATTTTTGGCTTACATTCCTGCAGAAAAAAAATCCATTGCCAAAATTACTCAGCTTGTACAACATAAGACAGTGTTGCCTGATCAGATTTTCAGTATTATATATACAAGTAAACAACCACCTTGATATATTTTGCAATTAAAATTCAAATATAATTTCAGAAAGCACAGAGATCTGAAACTGGAATTAATTCAAAGGCTGGAATTAAACAGGAATGTTTTTAAGGTTCAGTAATTCCTACTGTATCACATGGGTTGTGTTTAATACATGGTACCCTGAAGCAATGGTTAAGTATCTTCTCTTTTTCTTGATAACAACTGCCAAGACCTCTACTTTAGGACAGACCATTAAAATACATCTCTGCTTGAAGGGGGTAAGGGCAACATTTGTTAAGAGTTAGCCTGGAGGCAAACTTTACACACAGTCTCAGGCTAGAACCATTTACCAATAGAAGCAAACAGGAAGAACAGTGGTTTTGTGAGCAAGAGAATTCAAAAACTTGGTTTCTTAACAGTCTTGTTTCTCATCAGTGGCTTCTCTAGCACCTGATGAGCTCTGATTCAGCTTTTCCTCATCACTAGACTCTATGCAATATCACCCCCACGTGTGTCCTCTGATGCAGTACATGGTACTGATGGCCTGCAACTCCCATGGACTTCCCCAGGCAGTCCTTAGCTGTTTGGCAAATTTCGGTTCATCACTACAAACTGTGGTCCTACTGGAACAGCATTTGAGTCCTTCTGTACAGGGTGTGATATAATGCCAGAAAAGGCTCTCCCTTTTCTAACAAACCACATCCTTGCAGGCAGATCAGTCACCTTCCACATGAATTGTACTCATGATGGAATAGTTCTTGGAATGCTCTGAACTAAAAGCAGGGGTTCAACTCTCTCTTGAAAATGGCACCTTAAGATTATATACTTACTGTCTCTAAATATATTTAACATCAAGCCTGTTCTGCCTGCAACAAAATCACGCTTTTCTCATTTCTCTAAAGCACTCAGTACTCCTGACAGTTCTGTACTCAGAGAACACAAAGCAACAAAGGGCCTGAGTACCTTCAATGTCCCTCTACTCCCTCTTTCAAGGTGGCAACTTGGAATAAGCTCTCAGACTGCAGCTAACAGTCTTGCATCAGTTACATTGGGCTCAGCAACTTCAGAGACTGGTGACATGCCCAGACCTATGCCCCATTTTCTGCTCGTCTGCAACAGCAGTGTCAGAAACAGAGAAAACAAAATAGAACAAAGCTTTCTCTTAAGAAAACAACCAAAAAAGAAAATGTGTCAACATGCAAATATACTGTATCACAGCAAGAGATCAGAATGACACAAACATAAATTTTTCATGGGATTCCATGTGCATTCCAAATCCACGCCAGATTCTAAATTGAAGGATAACAATAGGGAAATAGAAAGAGAGGACTGAGAGCTTCTGACCTTGCACTTGAAAATGGAGCACTGAAGAATCACCCCTATCCCTAGGTGGCCAAATCCAGTTACAACGTGGACAGATTTCAGTTTCTGAAGCTGTGCAATACTACTGCAGGTAACAGAGTGATTGGGTTACCTCTGTTTCCAAAGTACAGCTGTAAGGGCAGCGTAATCTTGCCTCGCATGTGAACTTTAGTTAACAGCAGTGATAGACAATGATTAAATCCAGATCCTCTCTGCTGTGCTAAAAAGAATCAGAGCTTATTTTTGTTACTAAATTGCACTATCATCGCTTGAGATTCACACAGGACACAGATCAGAGCCAGGAAAGGCCATTGAATCCTTTCTGATTTGTGCTCAATATTTTAGGTCTATTGAAAGGTACATAGACCACCTACTTGGAGTAACTAAATTTGAACACTGGGCAAAGAATATGATTCTGTTCTCTTCAATCCTAATTTAGAAGGAATACAATTCCCAGAACACACAAAGTAAGCATATTTCAGATATGCACCTTTTAGTGCAGCACTGAAATTCCCTATTATGTGTTACCAGTTTTATATTCTCTACTTTATTTTTAAAAGTAGATAAGGGAGTAAAGAGATGGAAGATACATTTTTATATGCCTTATATTTTTATATACTAATAAGAAGGGCAACACCTTTACTACTACAGAGATTAATGATTTAGCTCAAACAATGTGCTGTTATATTTTTACAGAGAGAAACTGTTCTGGTGAATTATATCACTGATTTCCTAATTATTTCTTTTTGTATCTACTTAGAATACTTCATATTAAAAATTCTTTATAAGCCTTTCTTTTCCAAAGTTCGGCTAGTTAATTTGTCTTCTACTAACTATGCAGGCTTTATAAAAATATGTTGAAAATGCTTGTTTATATATTTAATACACAAAACTAAAAGCAAAAAAGGGGAGAAGCTGGAAAATCGTAAAAATTTGCATTTTAGTAACAAAAATGGCTGAGAAACAAACAAAATTCTAAATAGTCTTCATACTGGGAAAACAATGTAGATTTTACTGTCAGAGGTGTGCTAATTTCTCTAAAAGGTAAGTGCTCAATTGTATGACTCGTTTCATAGAATCACAGAACAGTTGGGGCTGGAAAGTACTTTACAGTTCAACTGGTTCCAACTCCCCCTGTCATGGGCAGGAACACCTTCCACTAGACCAGGTTGTTCCAAGCCCAATCCAACTTGGTGCTGAACACTTCCAGGGATGGGGAGTCCACAACCTCTCTGGTCACCCTGTGCCAGTGCCTCACCACCCTCACAGGGAAGAACTTCTTAACACTTCATCTAAATCTACCCTCCTTCAGTTTAAGGCCATTCCCTTTTGTCCTGTCACTACATGCCCTTGTGAAAAGTCCATCTCCAGCCTTCTCATAAAGCCCCTTCAGGTACTGGAAAGTGCTCTAAGGTCTCACTGAAGCCTTTAACCAATTAATTGTTCTTTTCTGCTTTTGCACTACGTTTACCTACTAGAAGAATCTGAAAGTTTCTTTTCCAAGCCTATTTATTCTCCTTAGATATCTTAAATGTTTTGGGGTTTTTTTTCCCCAGTAATTAAGTTGTGCACTATTATGCTCTGTTTCTCTTCCTTGAAATGTTAGTGGCAGCAACTCAACAACTCTATTTTTCTAGGGTAGATAACAACTACCTGTCCTTCACCTGACATTTTGATTGTTTTCACAGCCCTTCCTTCAAGCCAGTTGTAGAAAAGAGATGATGGAAATGGATTAAGACTCCACATTCAAGATGTAATATACCTTTTTCCTCTGCCAGTTGATTTTTCATGAAACTGCTCTTACTCTTAAATCCCATTCATTCAATCATGCCTTGACACATTCATTTACTTCAAAAAAATCCTCACACTTTTTGTCAAAACAGTTTTAAGAGGCATAACAGAGTTCTGTATATATCAATGGCATTAATTGAGGAAATCTTTAAAAATAAATATTTCATGCAGTGTAATTCTAGCCAGAAGTGAAGTTCATACCACTGTTAAAACAAATCCTCACAGCAAATGTTTTATTACTTACCGGGGGTGCATGGGAAAATCTATTCAGGCATATTTAAGAGCATGTTTAAATTACAGTTAACTCCCTGTAAATTGATGCAATTATTGGCTCAGATTCATTAATCTCTCAACACAGAGAAGCCTTTTGGAAGGCAGAGTGAGTCCTGTACACAGTGGGCTTGCACCATGACTGTCCTGTCTGATGGTATTTCATGGGTCACAAGTCCAAACCCCCTGACTACCAGAGAACTGGCAGGTTTCTCCTGAACACAAGGGTTTCTCTTTTCAGACAAGGGTATAAAGAAGGAACCTCGAGGACTTCTCCTTATATTTATTTATCTACTGTTCTCTTTTGGACAACTTATGTTCTGCCTGGATGAAAATCTTCTCTAAGTATTTCAGCATAACGAAAAGGAATTGCCTCCAGTGCCTCTGGAGCAGATTTACACAAGAAGATGGCTTCATGTACACATCAAACTCAGTCTTCAAGGTAAAGGGGAAAAACTTGAGCATCCAGTGTGCTATGACTAGAGACAGATGCCTCCTTCAGAAAGCAAGGGTAAGATCATAAGCAGAGTATCACTTTACACTACTGTTTGGGGGAAGGGACCTGCTTTTTGTCACTCATGTTGCCTCACACAGAATGGTCTGAAATCCCTGACTGTGGTTTGTAAGGGTTACCCCAGTATTTGTCATATTATTTTGCAATCCAAGTAATTATATATTTTCTAGTAACTGGGCTTTTGAGCAAGCAGACTTCTTAACACAATACTCTCTAGAATATTTTTCCAAAACCCTGTTCAGGAATAAGTTTCAACGGACAACCTGACATACATACCTTCTGCATAACATCAATATTGACATTTCACACTGCTGAGCTTCCTGACTCATTTCCAGATAACACAGATGTTCTCTAAGAGCCAAACTGATAGCACCTTATTGTTAATTATGGATAAGAAGGTGCATGTAGGAGGTTATCCCATTAATGTCTCTTCTCATTATTAAAGCAGACTAAAGGTTGTCAACTTTGATTGTTTCACCATCATCACCAAACTACATCAATTCTGTTCAGTTTCAATCACAGTGATGACTTGTCAGTCAGCTGTCACACTCCAGCCTGGTGTCACACAATCTGTGTGTGCAACCCAGACAACACATGTGGGTGCATGGGACAGACCCTTCCATTCCCTTTCTTGGTCAGTTCAAAGCATCTCTGGTGTGGACCTGCACATGCATCTTAGTTAGACTGATTTCTGCTCCATAACAGCTGAAGATTATTCCTGCCAGACTATTTTTCAGTGTGTTCTTGCAGAAAATGAGATCTTCAGTGATCTGGTGTTCAGCAATACCTAGGTAGATAGGGCAAGAAGCAGCTTCTCTTTGGTACTCTCTTTTTTTCAAGATTTCAGACTTCCTCTGCAGAGCCAGGAACTGGACTTGATGATCCTTGTGGGCCCCTTCCAACACAGGATATCTATGATTAACTAAATACATATATTTGACATATGAACAGCACTGAATATATCCACCCATATGCTGAGAGAAAGAGCTTCAACGGCTGAAAGAAAATTTTGTTTACACTGACAGTAGGCTATGGCACACATTTTGTTATTACAAGACAGAACATGTGAGATTTTTGTAAAAAGTAGAAATAAATGACAACTTTTATAATTGCTCTTTTCTGATGCAACCTGCTACGGAGGAAAAAAACCTGCTGCTCTGCATGTATTACTTATTTCACACAAGATAACTGTCTTTAAAGAATGTTATTAATGTTGGCAAATCAAGCACTCCAAATTTAGGATTTTACTAGCTTGTAGTTAAATTTAGGATTTAACTAGCTTGTGCTTTTCAGCACAAGAACAACGAGTCATCAATAGTTACCTTGTACCACACCACATCTGGCTCTTGACCGGCTGTTTTGTAATCCTCAATATCAGGACAGGAGATTGTCTTTCTCTTAGTGACTTCTGATTTTTCCAGATATCTGATCTTGCTGTTGTAGCAAAGCCCAGATTCATTCTCAGCTACTGTCAAGGACATGGACACCTTCATGCAATATGTTGAGTTTCTGCAGGAACAGAAAGATGTTTTCATTTATCCTACCTTCTTTCTACTGTGTTTGTTTCAACACAGTAAGTTTCTTTGTTAAGTTCTCATCTTCACAAACACTTGAGTGACAGATTCAAATAGTGACTGTCATGCTGTGTCTTTCCAACACAGAGGAATTACAGAAAACGTAAAGACTCGTTTCTGATTTACTATGAAGAGTATGCAGAACCTTGCAGAAATTTTGTTGACAAGTGATCTAACCCAGCACAGCAGCTCTTTCAAGCTTGCAAGTCTATGAACACAGGAACCTGTTGGCATCTCAAATATCAGCCAGGATACACTGTCCCATTTCCTCTGTGTGTCCCACACAGTCCTCCTCACCCTTGTTCTCTCCCACCATCAGGAGATTTCACCCTACTACTCAGTGCTGCATGTTTGAGAAGAAGGGTTATGAGCCGGGTGTTAAACCACATCATGCAGGAAGGATTTCTTCCTCAGAAGGAACTGCTGTACAAAATCCTACAGCACATGATATTGTGGTGGGTCGACCTGGACCAGCTGCCAGCCACCCTTCCAGCTGCTCCCTCACTCACCCTCAACAGGATGGGGAGGAGAAAATAAAATGAAAAAGCTCACAGGTCAAGATAAAGACAAGGAGATCAGCCACCAATTACTGTCACAGGCAAAACAGACTTCACTAGAAAAAAAAAATTAATTAATTGTAAATTATAATAGGTTGGTAGTAAGAAAGATAAAAAAACTAAAACATGTTTCCCTCATATCTCTTTTTTTTTTCCTCCTCTACCCTCCCTCCCTCACTGATTGGTGCAGGAGGGGATGGGGAGTGGTTCATTCCTCCCTGTCACTTCTTCCTTCTCACATTTCCCTGCTCCAGCATGGATGCAGCTCCTGTCCAGAAAATCAGCTCTGCAGAATCCCTCTCAGGCCACAGGGACTCAGTGCCCGCTGGGGCCCACGGCACCAAAGAACCCTGACAGCTAAATCCAGGAAGCAGATTGCTACGCCCAGTTTTTCCTAATATCAGGGCAGAATAAACACAACCAGCTCAGCTGCCATGCTGCACAATCAGGAAAACAGGATTAAACTAAATTCCTTCAGCCTTACAGCTTTAACAGAGCTATCAGACACACAATAAACCCCCCAAACCCGTGTTTGCCGTGGTGTTACTGGCACTCTGCACAGGATGGCTGCAGGCCAGGCTGCCAGTTCTGCCCCTCGCTCTGTGCCACGGCAGGCTCGGAGAACAACCCACAATATAATGGAGCTCTTCCTCCCCTCATCTTGTCATTTTAACTGATTGCACCACAACCAAAAAAGCCAGGAGTAAACCAGTCATGCTGGGTGGTTACTCCCATCGAAGGGAGCTGTGGAGAGCTCTGGCGGGAGGTATCTTGGCTTTGCCACTGCCTCTTCCATCACAGCTCTGCTGCAAACTGATTTAGCTGAGACAAGAGGGTGCCCTGTGCACCTGGGAAGTGATCCATCAGTCTCACCCTGATGCTAATGACGCTGGCTGCTCACTCCCTCCAACTAGACCCATGACAATGCTTTTAATTAAAAAAAAAATCCAACATGCTCCATGACAAATCTTTTCTTATGCAGCGTTTCTACATTTCACTCTGTCAAGTGAGCCTGTAGTTGGGAAGGAAATAAAAAGGTCTACAGGGACACTTCATCACAGCTCGAAGCTTCATGCTAAACAAGCGCTGACAAAACACTGTGAATGGGTTCTTGTCAAAGGTGTGCCATGAGCAGGTTTTGGCAGACAGAGGCATTTGCAAGGCAAATCAGCAGCAGTGTCCAGATATGTCTCAGAAACCTCCCATTTTCAGCATCATTAGTCCTACATATTCGGCAGAACCACAGAGCTTGTCCATCCTAGTCCCTTCTCCTCAAAATGCCACCTGTACATTTATGTAATAAAATTTGTGGATATTTTCTCCATTCCCTCACCTCTGAGTGGAAAGGCTCACTTTGCATGCTGCCATGATGTGTTTCAGCTGAGAGGTTATAATAAAGTCTCATCCCCACAAACTGCACAAAATATATTATTTTACCTGAAAGAAAAATTCTCTGGACTGCAAAAAAATCTATCATTTGGGGTGGGCTTTTCAGAAGTATTTATATGGTTTAGGGAGCATAAGTCAACTTTCTCCTAAACTGGCTTTTGAAAAGAGTTACCTTTCTTGTAGGAAGAAAACAAAACGTATCTGAGAGTTTCAATGCTTCCTGCACTGAAAATCCACAAAACGTGATACAACCACTCAGCATAATCAATAGTAATTAATCAGTAATGATTATTTAACCTTCCTGAATGACTATAAGTATTACTGAGTGCAAGTAAGGTCACATGTGCTCAGTGATAATGATCCAGGCTAATCAAGAATAATGACTTTGAACAGTTGTCCATTACTTGGTGCTATTTAATAGTGCTGTATTTTCTCCTAACAATCTTGCATTATTTAGATTTTATTTTGAAAAACGCTGGAGGCTACTTCTATTTAAAATGCTTCCTGGAACCAGGACCCAAAAATGTAGTATTCTTTTCATTAGTTACAATTAGAACTGAGTAGAATTGAGGAAACTAAGTGCCTGGTGAGTACTATCACTTTTGTTCACACTCCATGACCGAGACAATAAATCTATTCAGGCTCATGATGAAGAAAGCCCTCACTAAGCCAACAGCAACAGACTTGAAAGCTTTATGAATGCTTCTTCACCAGCCACTCAGGTTAGTGCTACTGCTGGTAATCAGGAAAGGGCAACTTTCCAGTGACTGAAGCAGCAGCAGCCTTCCTTTAATCTCGTCAGCTTGGGATAACAGTTATATTGCAGTTATGTGCAAAAGGAAACAGTAGTTTGATCAGTCTGTTTTTCTCAGTTTTGAGGCAGAAGTCTGGGAGCTGAAGTCTGTTGAAATTGTGAGCCATTCCACCCCGTGCTGGGCAAGCTGTTCCTCAGCTGTAAGGATTTCATCGCTCAGTCCTCTGAGCAGGTGATACATCTGTGCTGACTTTTTCTTGTTATCTTCCCTTCCTTGTGGGGTCTGGAGGATAAAGGGGCTCTCTAGAAGGTGACAGCTGGAGGGAGAACTCAGGAAGGGGGATCACAAAGAGGATCAGTACAGAAGCCCATAGAGCTGCTGTGGTGGGATGCATTCAGTTCTTTCTTTCCAATTGTTTTCAGGACCTCTGTGAACACAAGGGCTCTCTTCATGAGTTGCATTTAAGTTGTTTATGGTTAAGGGTCTTTTTTTTTTTTTTTTGGTAAAGGTGTGGAGATTAACTAGTGTGAATCCTATGCTTTTTGTTTTTCTTCTTTTAGAAGCTAAACAGATGGCCTATGAATTATAAAAGGAGGATCCACTTTTGTTTTCAGTACATGGTCATGGAGCTTGGTGAGGGAGGTCAGTGCTCCCAGCAGTCTCTGGCTGACAGGAAAGGTTCTGAGTCACAGAATATTCTGAGCTGGAAGGGACCCACAAGTCCAGTTCTTAAGTGAATGGCCCATAAAGGGATCAAACCCATGACCCTGGCTATATTAGCACCATGTTCTAACCAACTGAGGCAATCTCAGGGCCATTATGTGTTACATATATATAATATATATATTATATATATATATATATACGGTTATATGTTCATATTTAATGAGGAAAGCTGGACACAAAAAGAACAGTAGATAACAAAATCAAGGCTGGTAACCTGGGTTCTGCTGTCAGAATCAGTGGCCAAAAGGAATAAAAAGGAAGTGTCTCCCATGTGGATGAGGAAGATGCTGGAGGGCTTCTAGTGATGATCTTAGTATTGCAAGGCCAGAGTTGTTTCTCAGTAGAGAATATATGAACCCAAATTAACCTGTCAGGCTGCAGAACCTTTTGCACATACATGCAAAGGAAATAACCTGTGAATCTGAAAGTGCATTTTTTGATAATCTGTCTTTTTTGAAAGGTTGCCAAACCATTCGCTTTCCACAGGAGTTGATTTCCAATGGATTCCATTTCTACAAGAGGTAGCAGAGGTCATATGGGGAACAGGAAGAGGAAAGAAAAGAAAGAATCACTCCATACTACAAAGAAAAAAGATTGTCTTATATTTTCACACTGAAACTAAGATCTGTAATTCTCTTTTTCAAGGGACTAGTTACACACTGGACCTACTCTCTTGACTGGAAATAGGATGGGTTTAGCTCTGCCAGAGTTCACAAAGCAGATTCCTTTGTTTTGGTGGCAAGGCATCTGCAATCCCCAGGCCACTTGGAACTGACACTGAACCACAAACTGAAGCCAGCTCCAAATCCAGTAGAAAACCATAGGGAAAACCAAGGGAATTTAACAGGTCTCAAAACAAAAGCAAGCAAAACTGTGAGTTTGGCTTGACTTGGAAATAAGGGCAAGAGGGAAAAAGGAAGGATGTAAAGAAATGGATAAGAAGGACATTTGAAATTGGAGTGTCAATCCCTAAATTATTTTTCATCTTGTTTTGGATTCAAGACAATTCATCAGCCCTAAGGCTGAATTAAAATCAGAGGAAATATTCACAGCTTTGGAAAAAACTTTTTTTGGCATTTGTGTTTCTGCTAAGTGAGGGTGTTTGTTAAAAGAGTCAAGCAAAACAATTTTGGCTCTAGTACACACAGAATCTCCCCCCACCCCCATTTATTAATTTTCTTATAAAGACGAAGGAGGCAGAAAAGAGGTTGAATATTTTATATCTTCTAGATTGAAAAACCCCACCCAAATTTGAATTGCACATTTATACGAAGGGACTCACAATGGGATTTTCTCCCTTGCAGGTTAATTTTTCATTGCATTTGGTTTTTTATTACATTCTAATACTTTGGTGGTAGATCCAAAAGCTGGAAAGTGTATTTATCAAAGCAGTGCTCAGGAAACAGCACAGCTCAGGCTTAGATCTCTCTCCATGTACCTTAACACTCTGGCTGTTTTAATGACATTTTTATTGGCTCACTAACTGAAGGACTGTATAAACCAACATA